GAGTTGTGGAGCTCAGACTGCTGTTTTGCAAGCTGCCATGCTGGCTCCATTTGAGGCCAAGCTGATTTCAGGAGGTAAAACAGCTTAACTCTGTGCAGTAAAGGATGTTGGTGCTGAAGTTCAGCATTTTGATTAGGGTAGAGCTGTTTGGACTCACGTGTTGAGAAGCCCATATCTAATATAACATTTCATATATCCTGTTGTAAAAGGCAGCAGATTTTAAGCTAATTTAGGATATACTGATGTTACTGCTTTGAAGACGTTAATGGTGTTTTAAAATCTGCCAAGTCCAGTTCTTTGCTGGTAAAATACTGTAAATAATTTTTTAAAATTAAACTACATAGAATTTTGATTTTTTTTTTCCCATGTATTTTTGCTGATTTTAAAAGGATCTATTCACTGGGTATAGGTTTGGGCTGTAAGCCACTTTGGAGGAAGTAAAAATACATCAGTGGAGAATGCTGGACAATTACTGAAGTATTCTCTGCCTTTCTAAAACACTTAAAGGTACAGGGTCAGAGCACAAATAGTTCTGGGTTCTAGGGAAATACAACTTGTTTCTGTTACCAGCTGTATCCAGAAGTTTAGGCTGAGGTTGTGATGCTCTTCAGAGCAGGGCTCACTTCAGACTGTACCTGCATGTGTGACAGCAGCAGTAACCTGAATAACACCTGTGTGAGCAAGAGAATGGATGGAAGGAGACAGAGTTCCTCTTCTGCATGAACCATATTCAGTCAGACCTTGGCTTCTGCCTTTGCTTCCTGCATGTCCCTTGTGTGCCTCTCTCTTTCCCCACTCTGTGTGCTCAATAATCTTAAAACTTCTTCAGTCCACACTGACGTGACAAAGTTCCATTTAGAACAGAAACAAAGAGCAATTTTGAGCTTGAAAAGAAATGGCTTGAGATTTATTCATATTTACCCCATGAGAACCCAATGTAGAAAAGATACAGTGTGCAAAACTTTCAGAATCTTGGCTGCCAGGATGTGGGAGCTGGGAACTTGTGGGAGTGGAGTAATACCCTCAAGGATGAGTGAGATCTCACTGCCATCACTTCACAGTCCTTAAGGAGAAGACCACCTAATGAAGTGTTTTACATCTATTTCTCATCTCCATCAGAATAAATCAATAACTCCGTAGCACTGATGTAGTTTCAAACAATGTAACAAGAGCTTACCTTCTTTTTGGCAGGTTGTGAAGACTTCATTAGCTTTGTGTTTGAATTTGGAAAAAGTTTATGTTCTATGCACCTGACAGAAGATGAGATAGCTTTGTTTTCTGCGTTTGTTTTAATGTCAGCAGGTAAGAGATGAAGATTTCCTCTAGATTTATTTGGTAGGGGTTGTTTTTATTTTGAGACCTTCTTAATGATAATGTTACAGTTCTCATTGTGGAAATCACTACCTTTTTGAGTGTCTCCTCACCAAATTTTTTATTTGAATAAACACATTAAAGCTATGAATTTAGGAACTAGTTTGTTAAATTGAAAATCCTAATCTAAGCCCTTATTTTCCACATTTTCCCCTTGTTGAGGACTCAGTTTCTTTGCAAAGGCTTAAATGCATTTGAGTGAAACTCATGAGCCAATCCTGGTGAGACAGGCAGTTCTGAACTCCCATAGTCAGCTTTCCATGTGTATGAGCTTGCAGCTGCAGCACAACAGAACATTTCCAGCATTGCCATTTTAGTGTGACTGGAGACACTTAGAATTGTGATTCAAGACATCCAGGTTCCCCCAAAAGTCAGCCTGGGTCTGCCATGCCTGTGGCTAAAATACGTTATTAATCACAGGTGAGTGTGCACAGTGTCCTTCAGGTCCTGGAAAGGCTTCTTAGGTCAGGTGGAACAAGGTACTGCGGCAGAAAGTCAGTTTGTGTCTGGCCTGGCACCTGAGGAAGGAAACTGTGAGTTCAGACTGCAGCATAGTGGACTCAGGAGCGGTGATGGAAACTTCTGTTAGCAGTAGTGGGTTTATTGAGTCTATCATAAATATGTTCTCATACTGTTGGCCAGACAGGAAGTGTGTTAGCCCTGTGTTTTAGCAAGCTACAGAACCCTACAGCTCTGTCACACCAGGAAGGTGGCAGCTAATTAACCACCAGGTGGTGGCTGTTTTTCTGCCAGGAGGTTCAGCTGCTTTTTTTTTTTTTTTAATAGCTAAATCTTTACATCTGATTTTTCTGTCAGTCACTGTAAGATCTGTAAGTTCTGTAAGATCCTAGCAAGAAGATCCTCTCCAACTAGTTGTTCATTATATGATCTATTCGTTTCTCAGTAAAACGTTGCTGGCCTTATTTAACACCCTGCATTTTACAGATTTTCTTAGCAAATGAATAATAGGTCTTAGATGCATTGCATTCTCCTAAATAAGGGCTTTATAAAAGTAACTTTAAGTGCATGTAATAAATATATTTCAAAACCTATTAATTTTGAAGCCCATTTTCTATATGAAAGTATATCACAACTGGAAAGAAGGTTGCAAACAGGAAAAAGGAATGTGTAACAGACTTAGTACTTCCTGATGTGCTGTGATCCATGTGTGCATTACTAGAGGTCTTAACTCCATTTACATTCAGATCGCTCATGGCTTCAGGAGAAAGTAAAAATTGAAAAACTCCAACAGAAGATCCAGCTAGCACTTCAGCACGTCCTACAGAAGAACCACCGAGAAGATGGAATTCTTACAAAGGTAAGTCATCCTGTGCCATGTCACTGGATTGTGAAAGGGTGGCTTTATTTGAACATTGCCTTGATTATGGGGTAAAAGCTCATATGCAGCTAATTTATTTATAAACCCAGAATTCTTTGTTCAAAATCGAGCTGTTCAGTTGAACCTAGTTACTTAAACCTAGAAGCGGTGAAATGATGATGTTCTAGGGAACAAGGTTGATAATGGTCTGAAAGGGAGTATTTTTATGTGAAACTTGATGAAAAGTGATGAAGGTTTTTATGATAGTTCTCCTACACAACACTCCTGCCACACAGAATACTATTTCAGTGCTACAACATGCATGCCTTAGTATTTGTGGAATCTCAGCCTGCATGACAGTTAAGTTGTTATAACATGCAACACACAAAATAAACTTCTTTTTCAGACTTCCATAAGAAGTTCCCTACACAGCCTTTTTTTCTCAGTTCTTCCAAATACTAATGGCTAGGAAAAAGAGGGACTACCTACTATTATACTAAAGTATCTTCATGTAATTTCTCAGAAACGGGAAACTGGTGTGATGTTACGAGTAAATCTGAAGAACTGGGGAAATATAGGCACTTTACTTTTATCTTGCAAAGTGGCTCCTTTTACACCTCTGCACAGCCAGAGCTTATGCTTCGTTTCACATCACAGAATTACTTGCAATAGAAGCAGGATGGTCCAGCTCGGGCTCTGCAGATTTTCTTAATTTCAAATCCTAGCTCATGTAATTTTCTCTCAGTGTACACTTTGGATACCTTTGTCAGAAGAAAGAGTCTTCCATATGCTTTGATACAAATACTTTACTCAGTAACTTCAGGGAGTACCCTCATATTTTTGAAGCATGTATTTTTGACCTTAATTTGAATTAAGGTAAATAAGTCTAATCTATTGCACTGCCAGTTCCCTCCATAATATTCAGAATGGGTTTAAAAGCATTTGGGATTGCCATCTTCCAAGAGGATAATTTTCTGAGTGAAGATTCAGCCCTGAAATACTTGTTTTTCAATCCAGCAAGGAAACCTAATGCCATATTTTCCTTAGAACTTAAAAAATATTATTTCACAAATAATCTTATGTGTCCATTACTTAAATACTTCTAGCAAATATCCATTACTGTGCATCTGAAATTTCCTTGTTAAGTTAATAATTTGGTTTGGGAGAGCTTTAATCCTTACAGCAAGATTGGGAGGCCTGGTTCCATGTATGACCATGTGACTTGTGTTCATTTTTTTACAGTTAATATGCAAAGTGTCTACTTTAAGAGCACTGTGTGGACGACATACAGAAAAGCTTATGGCATTTAAAGCAATATACCCAGACATTGTGCGACTTCATTTTCCTCCACTTTACAAGGAGTTGTTCACTTCAGAGTTTGAGCCAGCAATGCAGATTGATGGGTAAACGTATCACCTAAGCACTTCTAGAATGTCTGAAGTACAAACATTAAAACAAAAGAAAGAAAAAAAAAAAAAGAAAACCAAGACACTTTATATGGCCCTGCACAGACCTAGGGAGCCAACACACTGCACATCTCTTGGCGGTCGGGGTCAGGCGAAGGATGGGAAACAATGAAACAAAGTTGAACTTGTTTTTCTCATGCATATGATTTCCATTATGCCTACAAATATGGACCCTTTTTCTGTCTCAACTTCTCAATCCTTGACCTCTGTTTACACAGACTGAGGGTACTAATGTCAGAAGGTTGTTTTCTCCTGTAGTTCACTGCCCAGACTTTTGACAGAACAATCAATTTGTTGGTCAGAACAGAGTCCACCTAGTAATCAGCGACTGGTGTGCATTGCAGAGATTTCAGCATCAGTTTGCACAACTTGCTCATTGTTTCATGAAGGACGATTTTTTTTCACCTACCACTGTTTGCCAGTAGACAGAACGGCATGAAAAGGGTCCATAGCAATAGCAACAATAGCATTATAATATATTACAGGGTAAATGGGCATGAAGACTATATATAGCAAAAGAGATATTGTTTATATATTGTTTTAATTAATATAAAATGTAGTTACTGGTATAGCTTTTCTTGTTGAATTGATAAGGCACTTTCATTTTGCACCTTTTTCTTTAAATTAAATGCTAGCGTGTTCATTGTTGTGTTGCATGTGCACCAGAAATTCAAGTTTAACTGAAAAAGGTTTGGCAGGTACTGGTACATTGGGAGGTATTTATGCTGCTGTTTTCCATGTTACTTTTAAAGAGAGGCTGGTCATATCCTGAAATGGTTAGAGATTTTTTTTTAAAGAGTTGAAAATAATGACAATTTTCTACATTAAAATAATCTTTTCAGAAGTTAAATTCAAAGGTACTTTTATTTTCAAGTCTTTCAAACCTGAATGTTTCAAAGTCAAAAGCCTCATTTTCAAAGTTTCTGAATTTCCAGTGTCAGAGTTGAACTAATTAATTACAGATCATTTACAAATTAGTAGCACAGAATCTTTGAAAATTGGGCTATTAAATAGTGTATTCCTGCCCACCATAAACCCAGGTTTGAAAGTATTTATTCAATTCTGCATCTACAGTAAAAGTACGTGCGTATGACATGCTTGTGGAAAAGTAATTTTTACACGTAATATTACATACTTTTGTACTCCATATCGTAAACAATGCCTTCAAATGCCAAGCTGTAGCCTATCAAAATCCATAGGTTTGTCTTTGACTTCAGTGAGGTGAGACACACTGACCTCTGTTGTTCCAGCAGTCAGCAGTTCAGTTTCAGGGAGCTGAGCAGAGAAGTCTGTTCTCTCCTTGTTTAAAAAGACGCACTTTAAAGTTGATCAGATGGGGACAGACAAGAAAGGAAAGGCACGCCGTTGCTAGAAAACATTAGTTTGTACTCAGTACTAGCCTGGAAATCATTAATATCAGAAACCTGCATTCTGTAATTCTGATTCCTGTATTGCATAACCAACCAATAAGCTGAATCTTGCAGTGTTATTAATTACCATTCACTTCAGGAAGAAGAATATCTCTGAGCAAAGCTGGTAGTAAATGTAGTTCTGAAGGAATCAGATTCACATAAACAACATCACAAACTGTGGCTGTTTGAGCCAGAGGTGTATAATTGGGTTTGGATGAGATGAAGATATATAACTGGATGCCCTATAGGCCATCACAAATTGAGTTTTGATGAAGTACCTAAGAAAAAGCTGGGAACATCAAAAAATGAAAAAGAATGAGACAGAATGTGCCCTACTGCTTTTAACTTCCTAGGGTAAACAATCTCTTACATATGTTATAGTTGCTGAGAAGTAACAAGTGAATAGACACACTCCGAAACCTAAGTATTTTAAAAGGAGTATCAGATCAGCGGGTTCTTATTAGCAAACTACAGGTTTATTCTATGATTTGAACATGTTTCCTTTGGAGTCAAAAAGAAACATGTATTTATGACACTTATTATAAATGTTCCAGTCTAGCACATCAGGTTACAGCTATCACTCATCTCTAGATTTTGAAAGGAGGGTGAGAGCAGAGCATCACATTCCTCCTCAGAGCAGTGTGCCCTGGAGCGTGGGAGGGGAACACCTGCAGCGCTGTGAGCACTGGGATGGAGGCAGGAGAAGGCTTTTGGAAAAAGTCCATTGAGCTGTCTTTTTCCTGCTCCATCCTGCCTGGTCCTGAAGAGGTGGCTCACAGCCCAGCACATGCTCTCTCCACTCCCACTGTAACACTTTTCCTAGGATCATTGTTTACTTTATTGGAGTAACTGGCATGATATGGTACTTGCATTCTAATGTGTATTCCTATTTTTGAAGCACCTCTTTAAACTAACAAATGTTTTCTGAATGTGACCAGCCTTAGGTGCTAGTCCTGTAAAGATCAACTAAACTTAATCTCAGTGTCAACTTATGAATAGTGAAGTGAAGTAAGACCTTACTTTTTTAGAAAAAGTGAGATACACCTCCTACTTCTGACAATGTAGACTACCAGGCAAAATATGGGGATTAGTTTTCAGTCACGTCCTGTTCTTACCTTTTCGTGATGAATATTAGTATTTTACCAGGCATCTAGGTGCCAGTGGTTTTGTTTGGAATCTGTTTAGAATATTTACATTCATAAATCATTGACAATATGAGTCTTGGAGCATTTACTAATAAAATACTTACCAATAAAAAGGTTCCAAATAGGACCTTAGCTGCGACTGATCTTCCTGGCCAGAAAGTACTGTTGTTTTTGTTTGTGGGAGCTCATGTGTACTGGGACCTTGTTAAATCAGGCTGAACATACACAGCCCAAGTAACTCTGCTTTCCTGGTCACAGTTAACAGCCACCTGGCAATAGAGTGTAATTTTTGGGTTGCCCTTCTTGGAGAGAGGAAAAAACAGCAGACGCACTGATGAGACATCTGTTGCCAAGGAGGTTTTTATGCAAGGGGACTCAGAATAACACCAGAGTGGCTGATAGGAGATGGCCATGTAAGAACCTAGCACGGCAGAGAAAATGCCCTCTGCAAAAGCCCTGGGACTGTGGCCTGGTATCAGATGATCAACCAGTTAAAAACCACTGGAGGTCAGTGGATATTCACATGAGTATTTTCATCATCTGCCCAGTTCACTACAAATAAAAACACTAGGATAGCTGAACATGATATTTTGAGTTTGGATGACCTAGTCCTTAGAGTCTGCAAAGTTATTTTCCTTGGGAGTTACATCTATCCCTGCTGTGTTCTGGCTTTCTAGGAAGAGCTACTAGACTATACTGTCATATGAACCACCCTAATACGTGTCATCACCTCCAGCATTGTTTGACGTATGGAATTAGGTGAAAAGGGAGGCTGGTTTTAAGTTTGGTTGTTCTTTATTAGCTTATCTTAGTATGAATACCAAGATATCTGTCTACGTGCACCTGTGTGTGTGTGAGAGAGTCCATTGTGTGTGCACGAGTGTATGTGTGGGATGCGTGAGTGGCTGCTTCTAGGCTGTTAAGTGTCAATGGAATAAAGAAAATGTATTCAAAATACTTAAGTCAAAAATAGAAGGTGGTAAAAAGATTTATTCTATACAAAGCCTTGTCTGGACCACTTTAGAGAGACTTCTATTTTTTTAACCCTTCTATAAATGTTTGATGGCACTTGAAATATTCCTGCAATAAAATGTGATTTGTGTAAACATTAAAAAAAAGATTTTGTAATGTGAAACAATGAAAGAAAGTAATGTAATTTTTCTAAAAAACAAAAAAAAAAACCACAAACGAACGAACTTTGTATTATTTTCTTGATGGAATTTGTCTATTTGTCTTTGGAAAACTTTTTATTTCATTGAATGTGCCATAGTAGAGGTGCGTTTTTCTTTTTCTTTCTTGTTTTTTATTTTTACATTTTAGATTAAAGGAATAGCTGTGTTCCGACATTCCAAAATGCAAGATGACATAGCAGTCATGATTAAAAGGTTTGATTAGTAAGCTTCAATCATTGTTGCTTTTTTTGCACATGTTCTTCATTCCTCTACAGTGCAATATGTACATAGAGCACTTGCGGGTGTAACCTTGATCCCTCAGGGAAGAATACATATTTGTACAGGATTTTTTTTTGCCTTTTTTCTTTTCTTTCCTTTTTTTCTTTTTTTTTTTTTTTTTGCTAAGGAATGTCGATTGAATCACTTGTCTGTTGTTGAGGGGCAGCCAGATAATAATCCTAAACCACTGTCACAAAACATTGATTGTTTAAATTTTGTGCCCTTTTATTATTTAAAAAAGAAAAATAAAAGTTATTTTCTGACAGTTCTTTGTGCTGATTGGTGAAAAAAAGGGTAAATAGATTAAGCACCTTATGATTGACTTAACTGTGAATGACAATCCATCTCGTTATCAACAAGAGAAGCCCTATCATTTTGGAGCTGGGGTTTTAAGTCAGAAACTAATGTGCTCAGGGATCTTCTAAAACTTTTCAACAGGGTGGCCAGTACTGCTGGTGGAACAAATTACTTTTTAAAAAAATATGCTAGTATTTCTTCCCTTCCCCCTGCCCCCAGGCACAAGAGAACTGGATATTTTTTTTTAACTAAATGCTCTATGCGTGCCTCATTCTCTTGCTCATTCTTGCAGTACAGCTGCTTTTTGGTTGGTATTGTGATCAAAACAGAAGTACTCCAAATAGTGCAAAGATTTTGCAATTATATTTTAGAAAACAAATGCTGACCCACTAAATAAATGACTGAAATTAATTTCAATACCCTCTGAACATTTTTATAATGATAGGACAACTTTTCCAGCTGAAAATCAGTGTTCTGCAATAGGAAGCGGCTTTTTAGTATATAAATTATCAAAGAAAATGAATCAGTTTATGAGAATACAGAAAGAATGAAAAGGTCATGGTTAGTTCTCATCAGTGAAGTCACATAGAAAAGAGCACAGATCTGCAGGAATACAAGAACAACACTTCAAATGTTGTCTGTCATTATTGCAGACGTTCCATGGTAAAGCCAAAACCTGACTGGAAAGAAACACTGAGGCTGAATAAATTTTCATAACTAGTACATCAAATACAGCAATTCCAAGTGATTTTATAATGGCACCAAACCCAGCAATGTTTAGAAGTCTCCCAGTGCCAAACTATAGGATGCTTGAAGCCTGTCCCAGTTAGCTTTGTTTTATGGCTTCACATTCTTCTGAAAATGCAAGTAAACAACTACGAACAAAATGAGCATGACTGCAACACCTTGGTTACATTGGAAAGAGAGTGAATTTGATTTCTCCATCCAATGTGCCTGCTTGGAGAAAGCCCCAGTTTTCTGGTATTTTTGAGGGTTTTTCCCCACGGGTATACAGCTACCAGCTTCCCTATTTATTAATAAAGAGGGAAACCATACTTACAGTTTCACAAGCTGACAGCTGAGTTTAGCTTGGAATGGCTTCCCAAGGCAGACTAGCGCTTAGCAAGTGTGATCAGTTGGTGTTCTGGCATCTTCAGCAGGAGAGAATTCCTATTGCTGATTGATAGCGGACCCTGTTCTTTACACACTTGCACATCAATTAAACACTCTTAGAACAGACAACCAATAAGATGTTTTAACTGTGTAGTGGGATGATCCAAGCATTACAGTATCTTTTTTTTGGATTGGCATAGACAATCCCCAGTCTGTACTTGATGAACAAAACAAGTTACACAGTGTAAGCTGTGCAAATAACATGTATTTTTTTCCCTAGACATTCCTAAACTCCTCCATGTAGACAAATCCATTAATATAAATGCCAGAAACAGCACTTACTACACAGTATCCAAAAATAATAAGCAATTTTCTCTTGAGTATGGAATTCTACCTGTGCTAGCTGATTCAGATTGCACAGAACATCTTTATTTTCCCTAGCTGGAGAAACATAACTATTAGAATTATTTTTAATTATTAATACTAATATTTATCACTTTTAAAGTTACATCCATTAATATATTTGAATATTAGCCTCTTTCTGTTTAAATATTTCTGTCAGTTAATCATATGGTGGAAATGAGGGCAGATGCATACAGATACCAAATACAACAGCAAAAGGAAAAGTTTTAAAATGTAAATGAGTATTTATTTTAAAATCCTTGCAGTATGTGCTTTAATTCTAGTACTGTGATAATGGCTTGCTACATAATGCTAAGTCACTGGACTTGAGGAGAAAAATACATAACATAATATACAGTCTTTCTCTGGAACTTTATTCAGGTACTAAATAGAATTTTAACATCTAAACAGAAGCTGTATTCTACCTTTTCCATCTATAATGTTGCTGTTTGTACTTTTTTTTTATTTTGCCTTTATCATTGGTAGAATATAGCAATAACTTTATAGCAATAAGTAGGCTATCCAAATAAGAAACAAAACATGATAAA